AGGGCACAGACATGGAAATGGGGACCTAGGTTTGGATTCCAGCCTCGTTGCCTAGGGACCTTTTTTGCCTTTGGATAAGTCAGTACCCAAGTGTGTTAGCTTTCTGTCACTGTGACAAAGTACCTAAGAAGATAAATTTACAGGATCAAGGATTTTGTCTTTTGTGGTGATCCGGACCTGTGTCGATGTGGAATGTGATGGTGGGAAGCCTCTGGGAGAACAGAGTTGCACACTTCATTCACAGTGGCTAGCAAGTAGAAAGGGGGAGGGAAAAAAGGGAGTCCAAGATCTGATACAGCCTTTAAGGGGACACTGCCTGTGACTTCCTCCCCAGAGGTTCCACACCTGTTAAGCTATGAGTGTGCAAATGTTTTAGTCCCTCCCCCCTCCACTCCTTCGCTCCCCTCTCCTGATGCATTCATTTCAACACTGCTCCATTGAGAGCAAACCTAAAACCCAAAGGCTTCGGGAGTGCATAAGATCCAAATCATGATGTGAGAATGGTGAGGTGCTCGCCTATAGAGGAGGTTCCTAAAACCCACTTGTTCTCATCAAGTCCTCTACTCGGAAGTCAGAAGAACAGAATGGGGAGGCCTAGGAGAAAGCACAGCATGTAGTGTTGTCTCACAGGCAGAGCACTGAGTTGGGGCTCCAGAGCCCACAGCAGCTGAACGTGGAAGCATGTTGATGACCCCTGTGCTGGGTAAGTGGACATGGTGGGTCATGATCTAGCCAGAGGAGTAAGCCAGGTCCAAATGAGACATCCCCTCTCACAACACAGAGTAAAGCGTGTAATGCTCTTATCAGAGGGCCGGAATATACACTCATGCGCGCATGCTCGCCCAACCCAACACTTACTCAGGAGGAGCTGTGTGGACATGGCAACCCTAGCCTTACCACCTTTTCTCTCTGTTTAATAGAAATGCTCAAGGATAAGAACAGGCCTGTGGTAGCTGCCCGTGCCAGAGGCCCACGAGGCCGGAAGAAGAGGCATGGAGAGCTGGAGGAGGCTGCTGAGCCCGAGCTGGAAGCATTTAGTTTGGAGAAATGCAAGGACCTCCTGAGGGCCACACTGACCCACTGGGGGCCAGGTGTCCCCTTGACTGGACCCACACAGGGGTCTGTGGGCCAGGCTATCCCCAAGAATGAAACACTGGGCTCTACACATGCTGCTGTTTCTTTGGTGGCCAGCTGGGTGCTTCGGTCATTGGCTGACCGGCCCCTCAGCAAGGCAGAGGTTACAAGACTCCTTGACTGGCTCGAGAGCCACATTTTGCCACAGCCAATGGTAATAGCTGACCTTCTCAGGGACAGTGCTGTGAAGACTGGCATCTTTAGGCTGTATAGTCGTCACTGCGGTGCCCAGGACCTCATGGGGCCTGCACAGGATGTGGCCTGCAAGTTCAGCAGGGTCATGCTGCAGTTGTTGGTGGCCCAGGGCCGTATAGATAGCCCTTTCCACTCCGTGGCAGAAGCCCTGTGTCTTGATTCTCTGAACGAAAAGGATGAAGCCAAACGAGGTAATGTGGGCTCTTTAATCATGACTAGAGACGTGGGGTGGGGGAGGGTGGGGCTAGAAAGGTCTTCATCTTAGGACTCTGACGTTATCTGGACCCTCACTGAGGCTGGGAGGGACAGAGAGTGAATATAAAGCAAGAGGAGGTCTCTCTCCTTAATGACAATTGTGTTTATGATGATAAACACCCATAGAACCTTAGGCTCCCTCTGATGGTTTGTATATGCTCAGCCCAGGGAGTTGCACTATTAGAAGGTGTGACCCTGTTGGAGGAGGTGCATCACTGTGGGTGTGGGCTTTAAGACCCTCACCCTAGCTGCCTGGAAGTCAGTCTTCCACTAGCAGCCTTCAGATGAAGATATAGAACTCTCAGCTCCTCCTGCACCATGCCTGCCTGGATGCTGTCATGTTCCCACCTTGATGATAATGGACTGAACTTCAGAACCTATGAGTCAGCTCCAGTTAAATGTTGTCCTTTGTAAGAGTTGCCTTGGTCAAGGTGTCTGTTCACAGCAGTAAAACCCTAACTAAGACAGTCCCTCACAGGACACACCACCCTACAGAGCAGAGAGTGTTTTGATGGTAACCTAAATAAAGGACTGCTGCCCGTAGTGAGCACGCCTGGGTGCCCACAGGAGCACACCCACACAGGCAGCTGTGCTTGCCATTCAGCTGGCCTCAGAGGCTTGGAAGCATGACTGAGCGTGTAGGTGACCTGCGCTGTCTTTGGTACATGAGATGGAGGGGCAAGTGTGTCCTCAGTCTGGGAGAATGGACTCTGTCACAGGGAAGGAAAGGCTAGCAGGCTGGGCTGTGACCTCACCTGATAGCAGAAGGAGCCCATCACTTTTTCTCAGCTAGCTGAAGCAGGAACAGAGGCCTTTTGCCTGTAAGCCTCACCTTTTCCAAAATGTGCTCTTTGAGGTGATAAATGCCAAGTCAGGGATGGCCCTAGGCATGAGACCTCAGACCAAGATGGAACTTAGAGTAACTCCTTTTTAAGGTGTGTACCCAATCATCAGAAGAAAGTAAGCTTAAAAATGATCTGAAAGGTTTGCACAAAGTAGAAATTCTTTTTTATCCATGTGTTCACCTGTGCTTACATGGGTTTGGCATAGTGTATCTGGCAGTTGTGCAGAGCCCTGGTGCATTGTGGGTGGGTGGTTTGCTTTACATCTGAGCAAATGCACATCCTAATGGCTTTGTCTAACTCCCCAGCTCCCACTGCATTCCTGGTGTCTCTGTATGTTAAGGACATCTGGCTCGGTGCCCAGCAGCCAGACACCTTCCTTGCTCACATCCGCACGGTCTGTGAGGCTGCAGAGGACAAGCCACTTGGTGATCCAGAGGCCATTGTTGTGCTGTGCAGGAATGTGACCTCCTCAGCCCCTCATGCTTGACTCGCTCCTGCTGAACGGAGCCCCAGCGGGTTCCAGGAGGCTTAAGCTGGTTCTGAGACATAAACTGATACGTGCAACTATGTTCCAGGAGGAAAAGCTAAGAGGACTTTATTCAACTGACCAACAAGTAAGCCCAGGTGTTGGCCTTGTAGTCACATCTAGTGACTGGGCCACTGCCAGGCCATGAAGCCCATGGAGGGCTCATATGGCTGCTGTCCCCTCCCCCTGAAGCCCCTGGCAGAGGAGCTAGGGGCTGTTCATGGGTTGGTATTAAAGCTGAAATGTGAAAACTCTCGTGTCTTCGTTTGTACACGACACGTGTAAAGTTTTGTTTGCTCTTTTATTTAAGAATGTTGTATTAAAGTCCCTAAGGTATAAACCTCTACTTTGGGAAGACAATCTATTTTTTTAATTATATTTCAAAGAGAATTTTTGAGTTTTATAATGTTTTGATAATAAACAGCTATTTTTTGTGAGTTGCTTTTGTTCTTTGCTTTATTTTACAAACTATTTTTATCCCAAAGACCTTCATTCTAGTTCAGAATTTAACTTTAATGGTTCACTGTTACTAGGTGTTGTCCTTGGTAAAGGTCAGTATGAAATTTCATGGATTTTACAGATAAAATGCTTGTATATGCTGGTCCCTTGTTGGATGTGCCACTCAGGAACTGGTGATGTAATTTGTCTGTGTGGAGTGTATGTAGTACTAAAAGTGGCTTGGTTTTGTTTATACTTTTATGTCTATCTGTGTGTCATCTTGTTACACGACAAGCGTACGTAAAGACAAGGGTCATTTACCTTTATTTGCAGAGAACACACAGGAAGCCCGAGGACACTGAGTTGGAAAGCCGCTTTTAGTTTGCAGTTTATTGAGATTGCCCTGCTCTATGGGTACTTCTGACTAGCATGCAGAGGGACACTTGCTGAAAAGACAGGATCAGGCTTGTGTCCCTAAAGCCCAGGCCTCTGAAAGCAAAGGAGTGGGCCACCAGACCCCAGCAAGTTTCCACAGCCTGTCACAAGCTCCATCCTCAGCCTCCCCTAAGTTTAAGGACTTTGGTCCTGTGAGGTGAGCTCACCTGAAGTCTGCTGGCCCCAGCCTCTCTTGTCTTGACCCTGGGTCTGGCTAGGTTATGATCAGAAGTCACAGGTCTTGTTCCCTCCCTTTTCCTTGTTCCCTTGTTCCTGGCAGTCTGACCAGATCACAAGGACACCGCCTTAGGTGGTGGCAGTGACTGCAGAGCAGATCCAAGCTCAGGAGCTGCTCTTCATCTTCTGTTTAACTTCACCATCCCCAAGTCTGGTGAGAATGAGGCTGGCCCTCACCCTGTGGAGAGGGGTGGCACACGGTCTTCTGCGCACGGCATTGTGTTATACAGCTGGCCTTCCAGACCTACAGTCCACATCTGTAAGACTGAACAGATCACCTCTGGACTGACGTGTGGAGGCTTTTGTCATTCTCTAGGCAGTGTGGTCACCGCATACCCCACTTTCCCACTGCACTGGATGGAGGCAGTCTATAGAGGCTCAAGTGATTGTGGGTAAAAATCCTGCCATTTTACAGAAGGGATTTGCTCATCCAAGTTTTGGCATTACCTCACCCCCATCAGTACCAAGAGGCTCCTTTAGTGTAAACACTGGTGTAAAGGGACAAACATTATTTAAGAATAAAGCCTACCAACTCCCTGACTGCAGCCCAGAGGTGCATCTGCAGGTTTTCATGGCCTTGTGTCTCTCTGCAGCCAGGCCTTCGGTACTACAGACCTAATTGTTTCAGCTCTCAGAGCCACAGTGCCACGGAGCAGCAGCTGAAATGGGGAGCTGCTTGCTAGCTTTGAGAACTCAATATTCTGGAGCAGTGCTGAAGGCTGCCTGGCTCCCTCAGATTCAGGCCCTGCTTCTGAAAAGCTCCGGGGGCTCAGTCGTGAAAGGCTGTGGGACAGGGGAGCTGGCCCAGGAGGGTGCACACTGCTGTGTCTGTGGAGGACACATAGGAGGTCTGCAGGCTTCCCTGGCATCCTCATGGAGCAGGTGTACCATGTGTGCTCAGACAGAAGAGAGAGGAAAGCAGAGGTTTTTTGTTTTTTTTTTTTCTTAATCCGTGTTTTATTTTCCTGTGCATCCCAAAACAAGTGTAAGCAACAAACAGGTTAAGCACGCTCAACAGACTCAGCTGTGTCTAGGGCAACTTCTCCATCCTAGCTGGGCTATTAATATGTGTGATGGTTCTCTTTGTAAACTTGGTTTTGTCCTGGTCAGTTTCTTGCTACATTTAAGATGGCCTTAAAAAGACATAGCTGGCCAGGTTGGTGTGAGTTCACTGGTTTGCTTGAACACAACTGGCTCTCTGGCATCATCAGTTCTACAGTTGAGAAGTTATGTCTCCAGGCTCGCCACTGCTTGTACGTGAGGTCAGCTGATGCCCTGGGACACCCCCCCCCCCATCCTGAACCTGGTCCTAGGGGAGAGCCAGGGGCCCAGGGAGTGAGGCAGAAGGACTCTGCTGCTGTAACCATTGGTCAGTGGCAGCTCTACTTTCTGGCTCCTCTGCTGTCTGCAGGGAGGCCCTCCGGAGGCACAGGGGGAGGTTGAAGCCGTGAGTCCATGGACATATTTGGTGGGGTTGGGGACTGTGCCTGTGGACAGAGCAAATAAGAGGCAAGCATCAAGGAACTGGCTAGAGAATAGCTCTTAGCTAGAGGGCTTATCTGTCCCTTCCTGTCCTGAGCCTGTGGGCAAGCCAGGGAGCTAGAGACATGGGTGTCTTGTTGGGAACCAAGCCCTGAGTCCTTCCTTCGGTGCCAGTTCTTGCTTCTGTGTTCAACTCTCCTCAGGCATCCGGCCACATACCTAAGTCCGCTCATTTCCTGGCCACACTAATGGACTTTAGCTAAGAAATCTGTCTTCTCTGGATTTCCTGGCCCTGGAGGTACTAGAGAGTGAACATGGCTGCCTGGCATTAACCTCCTTGGCCACTACTCCCCGCCTGCACTTGCCTTGGATTTTATTCACAAGATGGGATGATGCTGCCTCATAAGTGGTGGCAGAGGAAGCAGGGGCCGGCTATAGGCTGAGCTGGAGAACCATTCTCCATGTGTTTGCAATGCTAACACAATGAAGGCCACAGGAAGGAAGCTGTGGGGGCCAAAGCCACCATCTAAGCAAGTCTGTCTTATGGGGGGGGGGGTCCTCACACAGTGCCTCAGGAGCCTTTGCTCTCTTGTTAGATTTCTAAAGTAAATGAGACTTATGTGTGTCAGAGTAAGTGTATGCCACCCAAAGAGTCCAGAAGAGGATATGAGGTCCCCTGGAATTAGATATCAGGCAGTTGTAGACTGGGAACCCAGCTTGGGTCCTCTGGAGGATCAGCAAGCATCCTTAATTGCTGAGCCATCTCTTCAGCCGTGTGTGTGTGTGTGTGTGTGTGTACTCCTCCACCACAAATATACTCAAACACATACACACCTAACTGGACTAGAGCTCTATGTACACCTCAAACTTAGAGATCTCCCCACTTCTACATTTTAAAAACCGGGGCAGCAGTTACAACGTAGAATAATCTAGAAGGTCAACTACCCAGCACCAGAGAATCTCCAACAGTGAACTAGCCTTACGTATTCTTTGGAGCTCCCAAAGTTCACCTCTAATTTAACCAGCAGGGACTGACCAAGAGACACCTAAGCTAGGGTCCCGTATTTCTAGTGAGCTCAGCAGCAGCATTTAACTGACACCTGGGGTTGTTTGTTCTTTATTTTAACAGTTTTATAAAGTCCATACCTGCAAGATGTTACCCAGGGCTCCTTAATATACTTATCAGTATACATCTGTCACCGTGCTAACTTTAAAATAATGACATCGTTACCAAGAAGACCCCATTATCAATTCCTTCCTTTCATCTACCATCCCCCAAGCACTCTGATATTTCACATAAAGGCAATGAAACAATATGGTTTTATATTTGGCTTCTTGCACTCAGCGTGTGTTTCGAGGGACCGAAATGAATGGCTTGCTGATGACATGTGCTGAGAAGTGGGTCACCAGGTGAGCTCTGTGTTGACATCACAGGCTGTACTCACACAAACTTGTGGAACCACTTCTGTATGTACTGATTGTCGTGAGACCATTGCCTGCTCACTCGTTTTAGCATGAGTGAGTGCAGGTCATGTGGATGCACTACAATACTACCGGTCAGCATCTGCATTTGTCCCAAGACCTGCCTTCCTACTTACCTCATCTGTGAAGAGCCTGACCAGGACATGTACAGCAGAATGAGGAAGAGGAGCACCACGAAAGTAGCCAGGCTCAACCACAAGGCAATGACGATGGAATCTGCAGGAAGGAACAGAATCAGCTGAGTCAGACAGGCAGCAGAATGGTCCTCAGCCAGAAGTCAGCAGACAGTGCATCACAGGGCCAGCGACTTGATGGTGTCTCTGCTAGCTGTTATGACTGGAAAGGTTTCCAGTAACAGCCTTAGGAAGAAAGGGAAGCTTCTCCTCAGTTGATGGCAAACTAAACGTTATCTTGGGCTCCCCACAAACTTTCTCCAGCTGTCACTGCGGCTGAGAGGAAGAGTCCCGAGTGGTGACTGTATGACTTCCTTTTCTTGTTGTGTAACAAGATGCTTGCTGAGAGCCTTGGTGACAGGCCCCAGGAGGAACAACATCAGGGGCCCCATTCCCAAAACCTAGAAGAACTTCCCAGGGCCTGTTAGAGGTCAAGGCCCTTACCCCTGTGAAGAAGTGGGCTGGCCCCTGGTACCATGGAGTAGAACTGGCTAGTGACTCAGGTAGAGAAGCAACAGGCACTGTTGTGCCCAGCACCATAGCCATATGTGTGGCTCTGAGCCGGAGAAAATATGGTTGGTTTCTTCCATTGCTGTGGAGAACCTGGCATGTCAGGATCATTTGGCAGGTAGCTGGGGGACTGCCATATTATGGAGGTTTGGGAGTGGTTACCTATGGCTGAGGGTGGCCTCAGGACAACATGTCCAAGCTGGGAGAGTCTAGACAACCCTCAGTGTGTGACAGAAAGAGATTGTTGAAGGATAGTAACCCAGCAAGTACTTACTAAGCACAGAGCTCTGCAGTGCAGCCTTCAATTAGTATGAATTGCTACACAGATGTCGAGAGCTAGCACAAGAGGGTCTCACATTACATCAAAATAAAAGGTTGTTTGTGAATACTATACAAACAAATGGGCAACCATCCAAAGAAATTATTGTGTGAGTTATCGAAATGGTTGAAAATGGGGCTCTGGGCATAAGTAATGGCATCCCTGCTTTTAGGACTCCCTGGCCATTCCAAGGATAGGAGTACTAGGGAGTGAGTACCAGCATCCTCAGATGCTTAAGTCCACTATGGAAGCCTCTTGTATGCCCATAGAGCCTGCACAATACTGCCACAACTTCCGATCATCTCCAGATGATTCTCGAGACTGTTTATCATGGGTGCATACAAACAGCTGCTGTGTTCTGTAGGGAATAAGGGTGAGAGAAGAGTCTATTTTTAGCACATATCTAATTTTTTTCAAGTAATTTCAGTCTGTGGATATATAGCACTGGCCATATTTGAAAAGAAAATGCCATCTCCTGTCTGTGCCTGCGCCGTGAGCAGCCCTAAGGCTTCAGCTCTACACCCAACCCCCCAAAACCCAGAGGATGCTGGACTCCCAGGAGTTCCAACACACCCAGGAGTATAGGATGCTGAAGGAGCATAGTGACTGCCAGAGCAATGGGTGAGACATGCTGATGCCAGGACAAAGAATGATGCTGACCTGTGAACTTGCTGAGGGCCCTGACAATGGTGACTGGGAAGCTGTATTGGACATAAGTTTCCAACACACCATTGCTTACCTATACTCCTGATGGGACAAGCTGCCTTGCCTCAAGTTCTTAGACCTTGTGGAACAGAGAATCAAAAAGAGAAGTTATAATGCCTCTTGTATTGTTCTTAATCGTGACCAGTTATTCAGACTCAATCATGGACTGGTCTAGAAATCAATCCAATATTGGAAATAATAGTCTTCATTTGGAAGTCTGGTTCTGGATATTTTCAGAGACATACATGGAAATTAGCTGCAGTTCTCTGTGATGTTATGTTAGCAAGAGATAAAATTGGGGCAGGATCTAATTTCAAACAGGTGTTAGCACATGTGTTAAGGCTCTTTTAATTGTCAAGTTAAAAATACTTTTGTTTCTTCTACAGTATTTAATGTAAGTGCATTGATTGTACACCTTCTAATTGTGTTTGTGTTTTGAAATCTGGCATGTCAATTAAGGAGGTCTATCAACCAGCTTTTGTTTTAGTGCCCTGAGTATCACAGACCCTTGGTATTCTAAAAATAGCTTGCAAGTACTGGAAGAAATGAGTCAGGCTTTAAGCAGAAGCAAGAGGGTAGTGGGCTTGATTATTGTTGGTATAACAGCTTTAATTACATTAATTGCTAGCACCACTGCTTCTGCACTAATTGCTGTGACACAAGAAGTTAAGACAGCTACTTTTGTTAATCATCTACTTTTTGTTAATCATTTTTGTTAAAAAATGTTACTAATGTGTTGAATATACCAGAGGATTTAAATAGGCATTTGGAAGAAGGAATTGATGCTATTTATCCTATTCAAATTACTGGATAGAGGTTCAGAATTTAAGGGTAAGGAGCCATCTTGAGTGTCATGCCAAATACCATTGGATTCATGTTAGTTCTACAATTTACAGTGGTAGTCATTATAATTAGGAAGAAGTTTAATGATACGTGCAGTGTATTTGGCATAATTCTAACACCTCTCTAGATGTTTTAACCATACATAGGGAGCTTATGAATTTCATTGATGCTGAGCATTGATGTGGTAGAAACTGCAGATAAAATTACCCATGGCCTGAGGTCAGTATTTCTATTTTAGTCAAGCTTCAAAAATGGCTTATATAGCTTGATCATGTTAGCCCTTTTTGTCCTGGGAATACTTTTATTCCTGCCCATTGTGTTAAAACTTTTCTTCAACAACATCAACATGTTGGCAGCCAAGTACATGGCTTGAAACTGAAAATGGACCCCCAGACAGTTATTAAATTAACAGGCTGGCAAGCCAAGAACAGGTAAGATTCTACACAAAGCCTTACCAACCTAAGACATAAGTGCATTGCTTTGGATAATGCATATTCCATGACTGATAAGGAAGGCATTCTTGTCAGAATGACCTGAGACAGGCTCAGTCTTGTTAATGAAAAAAAAAAAAAAGAGGGAGAAGTAGAGAGCCTTTGGGGCTGCTTGGCAGGAATCTGATATTGGCCAAGGACAAGGAAGCAGGCTTCAGGTAGGAATCTGACATTAGGCTAGAACAAAGAATTAATTTCAGACAGGAATCTAAATTTTAGGCTAGAACAAGGAAGTAGGCTTCAGACATGAAAATGACCTTGAGCTAGGACAGGGAGGTAGGCTCAGATACTCTGGTCATCCTGATAAGCCCTTAGAAACAGTGATCACGGGAGTGTTCACATAAGTGGGTTTATTGCCTTGCTTTTTCTTTAACTATTTGCGTTTATTGTATTATTTGTTCCTTGACTATTTGCATCTATTCTATTGCTAGTTCCTCAACTTAGAACTGACCTTAATACATGCATATAATCAAAAGTGTATAAAAGCATAAAGGAGGACGGGGAGGGGATAGGGGGTTCTAGGGAAGGGAAATGGGGAAAGGGGATGACATTTGTATTGTAAATAAATAAAATACCCAATTAAAAAAAAGAAAAGTAAAGAAAAGAAAGAAAAGAAAATGCCATCTCTGCTTCCTATGACCCAGACAGGTTGAGAAACAAGATTTGTGAAAGTAGGACCTTGGACCCTAACAGTTAATGTCAGAAATGAGGTATTGAACAGAGTTGGCGATTCTGCCAATAAAGAGCCTACTGTGCAAGCGTGAGGACTTGAGGTCAGACTCCGGGCACGCGTGGAAAAGCTAGGTGCTCATCTGTAGCCTTATTGCCAGGAACTTGGGGGTGAAGATGAAAGGATCCCCAGGAATCACTGGCCGGCCATTGATGAACTGCTGAGCTTCAGGTTTAATGAGCCACCCTGTCTGAATAAAATTAAGTGGCAAGGGATTAAGGAAAGATGTCCAACACTTAACTGTAGTCACACCGGCATATATATGCCTGCACACTATAGTACACACACACACACACACAGAGAGAGAGAGAGAGAGAGAGAGAGAGAGAGAGAGAGAGAGAGAGAAGGAGGGAGGCAGGAGGATGCTATACTTGGAAAAAAACACAAGCCCCTGCCTTTAATACATTAGTCCTTTACAGCATCTACAAGCCAGGGAGACAAGGACAACAAAGACCCATTGCTGGCTCTTGTGTCTTCTCCCTTTTCTGTCCCTAAGCTAAGAAGCATGAAACAGTTTAAGAGGATCTCTGGGCTCCAGGGAAGGGGAAGGTAATAATAGATGTCAGGTCCAACTGAAAGATGTCAGGTCCAAAGGCAACCCAATTCTCCAACCCACAAAAGGCCGTCCGAAAATCCAGAAATGAGCTCAAGCCGGAGTGTTTCTGCCGAAAATCCAGAAATGAGCTCAAGCCGGAGTGTTTCTGCCAGTCAGATAAAAGCCAGCATTCCTCGGGACTTGTGAAACTGGTTCTCATCTACCAAAAGGAGTTACCCTTACCTCTGGCAGAAGGGACTCCTGGCTAGCTGAGGTGTCTATTAGCACATCAAAGCTCATGCTGGCCTCCAGGCTCCCTCAGTATCACAAGTCCTAGCTATCTCACCCTTCTCACCTGCCCTTCCATAACCTCCATAGCCTCCCTCCAGCTCACAGGCTTCTCTACCCTCAGCCTCTCCTTCTCCTTATAGCCCTGCTCTTCCTGCTGTGTTCCTGCCCTGCTCTCCTCTCACTGTTTCCTCTATTCTCTGTCCCTTGTTATCCCCTCACTCAAAGACTGCCCTTGTCATGTCCTGTCTGCCCTGCCGTGTCCCATCTGCCCTGCCATGTCCTGTCTGCCTACCATGTCCTGTCTGCCTGCTGTGTCCTGTCTGCCCGCCATGTCCTGTCGGCCCATCATGTTCAGTTTCTACTCTGTTCTGGACTCTTCCAGATGCCTCTGGCTGTTCTCTCTCATATCTACAATTAAAAACATTCCCCTTAACCACACCATGGTCAGTTTCTACAAAATTCTTTTTGAAAACACCCCTCTGGCTTTCTCAGTTTGCCTTGCCACATACCCACATGCCTAGAGGGTTACAGATTATTTCATAACTTCTAAGTAGGAGTGTATGCTTTCTCAAAATTTAGTTTGGGATTTTTCTTCTGGAGGGTACTTCTGATTTCTGTGGACATTAATCCTTTCTTTTCCTCTTCATCAAAATGATGAAGCCTTTGAGGTCCCTGGCTCCTCAGTAAGACCCACCAGCTACTCAAAGGAAGCAGCTTCAAGCACGTAGCAGCCGAGAGCCTCCTTTCTCAGAACTGTCTGTGCAACCTTAGTCATTATCCCTGACACGGAGCAGGAAATGAGATGACTTCTTGCCTGGAGCACATGACCTACGGATAAATGAAATTAAATTCTGTCAGACTGAAAATGAGGATCAGTAGCTGTTAGTCAATTTCCATGCTAAATCCACTCCCGCCATGTTCCTTTGAAAAAGAAAGCCAAGAAAAATAGTTCCTTCCTTTTCTGCAGAAAGTTCATGAGTGCTCACAGAGAACATTTTGTTCTAAAGGCAAGAACCACCCCCACAACCCTCAGCCCCAACCACCACCCTCCCCTCTCCCCACTGCCCCTCCTCCCACCCTACCCCCAACTCCCACACCCCCACCCACCCCACCCGCATCTGAAAGGTTCTCACCCCCACAGACTTGTTTTCACAAAGAGCCCCTAGCTGGGCTGAGAATGAAGCCAGTATTTGATGGAGAAACCCCAGCTTCCTCTCCCTGCCTTCATGCTCGCTCTTTCTTCTCCTCTCTCTTTTCTTCCCCCACCCTCTCTTCTCCTCCTCTCTTTTGCCCTTCCTTCCTCTCCCAGTTCCCACTATGGACTGTGAGGAATCAAATACCAACAGAGGAGTCACCAGAAAAAATTCTGAGTCACCTACAGCATTGCATACTGTAGTCCCAGCTGCTTGGGGGATTGAGGCAGGAGGACCTCTGGAGCTTGGGAGTGAGGACCAGCCAGGCCAACATAACGAGACCCTGCCTCTTAAAAGAAAACTTGTACAAGCATGGATGGCTTCACTTTATGTTAGAAGACTTATCTTACAGCCAGCCACACAACACTGTGACCAAGTCCCTGACGCAACTTAAAAGGGAGGAATGGTGTATTTGGCTCATGGTTTTAGAGACTTCAGTTTGTGGTTGCACAATGTGTTGCTCTGGTGCTTTGATGAGGTTGGGAGGGGGGCCGGGGGGGGTGGGGGGTGGCGCATGTGATAGAATGGAAGTGCTCACATTATGGTAACCTGGGAACACAAAGACAGAGTCCCAGACCCCAATATTCTCTTCAAGGGTGGAAGACCAATGACTTAACCTCCTTCCGCTAGGCCCCACCTCTTGTGTTCTCTCTCTCTTGGCAACAGCACCTCGGGCACCGACTGAGTTTTCAGTATATCATCTTAGTACGGAGTTAATTAAACCACCTCAGAGTATGCCTTCCTCAGAAAAGATGCTTCAGCATGGCTGAGACACTGGCTTTCGTTCTGACATCATTAGCATTCATCTTTATCTACTGATCAAATATTCAGAGCACTTCTCTAGTTCCTAGAAACAAGTCACCCTGAACTCTTGCATGTCACCTCCCTCCAGAGACGTTCCAGAGAGTGCTGTGGTTACCCAGAGCCAGCTTCAGATTACAGGGATCCAGTGACGAGTCACTCAAGTGTTGCCCCCTGAGAGGCCGTTTAACGAAAGTTCATTCCAAAGCAAACACTGTGACATTTTTTTTGAACTATCACTTTCAGGATTTAGATCGTGTGCGTGAGGTGGACCTTTTGAAATCACCAGCAATGTCTGAGGTACATTGTTCCTCGTGGGAGAAAACATCTATATGCAACCCTTTGTCTTGTGTTCATTGACGCCCCTGTTGGTTTTGGAAGAGCTGGATTGAATGGCATGTTTCTGCTCACCTTCCCCCTTCCCTCAAAGCAGCAGGTAAGTCGATGGCATCATTGAAGCTACCAGAGGCAGGGCAGCAGCAGAAGTCAATATGGATGATGACAGATTCTTCCTAACCCGTAATTAAATGGAAGGAGACATATGGACCGTAGAGGTAGATAACTGAGAATTAAAGCCAGTTCTCCTCGAGGGAAATCAATCTATCTCGCTGCTCTCTGAACAGGGGCATTAACCAGTTACTGGAGAGCCATCTTATTAGGATAATTTGCTTTGTCTCTGCAAGACTGGAACGTAGGATTGGTTCTCTTCTTAGTGCGGCCTCCAAGAGGGGGACAGACATGAAAGCAAACCCGCCGACTGCCTGTTCTACTGTGTTAACACACTCCATGAAACAGACACGAGCTATACAGAAAGCTACAAGGCTAATGTCCTTATAAAGTGCTTGTGACACAATCACACCAGATGCTGACCTGCCGTTGGAATATGGCAGCCGCAGCCTTCAGCTCAGTCCTAATTTCCTTTCTTCTGGTGCAGGGGAGGGGACTTGGGGTGAAACTGTTATGTCATCCTTTGCAACACTGATAGAACTAATCTCCTAAGAAACTAGTAGGAGGTTCAGAAGCAAATTAATTGTATGTGTATGTGATATGTATGTGTGTGTGGACACATGTGAATGCCACAGTGCACATGTGGCGGCCAGGTGGGTGTTGGTCCTTGTCTTCTACCTTGCTTAATACAAGGTCTCATCACTCCTGTGTACTCAAGGCTACCTAGCCCATGAGTGCCCACAGATTTTCCTATTTCTGCCTCCCATCTTGCATAGGAGTTCTGGGATTACAGATCTGGGCTACCATACCTAGTTTTTGTATGGATTCAGGGGATCCGACCTCTGGTCCTTATCATTTTGCTTTAAACACTGAGCTGTTTCTTCATCTTGCAAATTAATATAGTCTTTGATGCATTTATTTATTGTATGTGCATGGCCCCACGTATGTGTTGAGGTCAGAAGACAACTTGCAGAGACCTGGGTCCCAGGAATTGAACTTGGGCTATCAGGCAAGACTGAGCTCACGGACTCTAAGATGGCCAAGAATCCTCCCACTGGCCAGGAGTCCTCCCACCCAAAACAGTGGAGTGGCTTTACAGAGCAGGTGGTGACCAAGCGTGACATCTTTGACGCTCAAAAAAAAAAAAATTACAGTATCTGAAGATCTCTCAGCTTTGCATCTAAATGGTGTTCATTTTAAAAAGAGTTTTCTAAAGGGAAACCTACATTTTGTCCAGACCAACAGGTGTCCTCGGGTTCAGAACTTACTGTAGTATTTACAAGTAGGTGCATTTTCCACCGACTCTATCACTTTCTCCTATTGCATGTCTTTCTCACTGTGAGTCATGTGTACAAAAACCTGTCCCTGAAGGGCACCTTTCTCGACCTTCCATCAGACAACACAAAGTTAAACCACTGTCTCCACTGAGGTCCTTAAGAAGCATGGACAGGCACCTGCATTTGAACACTGCACGTTGAAAAAGAACCGGAACCTTACCTCAAAGGATACACTGGAAGGCTGTCCCCAGGGCATCTGCCTGGCCTTTGCCTACTTCCTGAAACACTAAATATTTATTTGTTTTGAGCTGCTGTATAACCAATTTTCTCCCTTCCATGTGGAAACCATTTCATCCCTTTGAGTAATTCCATTTGCTTTCTGATAGAGACATTCCGTGGATATTGTGAGGGAAATATCCACAGAACCAAGACTTTTTATGGAGTAGGCACCGGCAGGTTCCCTGGCTGAGAGCGTTATCCCAGGGCTGTGTCTTTAGGCTCATTTCCTGGGCTGACCTTTGACCTTGACTAAATAGCTCAACTGATTAGGGAAGACCATCTTAGAGGTGTCAACTTGCTCATGAGATGAACAAAAGCAAATGAGCAAACGGATGTTAAGTCCTGCTTGTCCTCTGAGGCCGCGAACACTGAACATCTGTTGACAACTTACAGAGCATACAACAGACATCTTAGAGGTGGCCGGAATATATCTCCCAGACCTAAATATGGACAGTGAGAAAGACAGAACTATGTAGTTTGAAGAAACTCCTCCAGCTTACTAGAGCCTCAAATAAAGGCAACTTTATCAAAAACTGTACCTTCAAAAACAAAATAGAGGAGCTCTGGGAGCTTCTTGGTTCCATCCCCTGCATCATAGAGTGAGAGAAAAAAGGGCATGAAAATGAAGGGAAAAGAGGGACCAGGGAGAAAGGAGTCGGGGACCAGGGAGGTTGCTATGGGCTGAAGAGAATCAAAGTCCATAGTGAGCCGTGGTGATACACACCTGTGGTCCCAGAATCTGAGTAACTGAGGCAGGAGGATTTCTGTGAGTTTGAGCAAAGTCTGAGCTATACAGTGAGTACCAGTCCAGCTGAAGCTATGTAATAAGACCTCTTTTCAAAGAAACAAGAACGAAGAAAATCACATTATCTACATTATCTATATTATGGAAATATTATAATGAAATCCACTATTTCAATTAATATACACTAATAAAAATAAGTAAAAATAAAATAAATATAAAAATAAAGAAGTAAGTATATGTGTGTGTGTGTATGTGTGTGTAAGAGAGAGAGAGAGAGAGAGAGAGAGAGAGAGAGAGAGAGAGAGAGACAGAGAGA